ACATTTGCAATAAAAATTGATTATGAAAAAGCAAGCTCAAAATGCCGACCATCATTTGGATTTATGTATGCATTGGTCGAAAATCCTACACAAGCCTCAAATTGACACAAAATAAACCATATATTTTCTTTATATGGTGCTTTGTAAGATAATTATTAAAAGTTGATTATTACCAGAACTTGTGTTTCCACTTTACTCTTTGGATGAATTGATCTGGCATTATAAACCCTTCAGGCAATATTGGAAATGCTGGATTTATTTATTATATTTGATAATGATTAGCTTATCAAATGAAGATTGGCAGAAGCTGTGATCGAGAAAGAGATTAGCCATGTTCTTGTCTACTGATTTTGTGAAATGGATGTCGTCCCAGTTTATGTTTTTCCCCAGTTCCTTGTGCATCGATGTTTCCCTGGTGCCACACAAGAGCTGCAAGTTGAAGTCGAGTTGTCCTTCAACAAATTTCCAACGTCTTTTAAAAGGTTTCTCAATCTGGTACACTCTCGTGCATGGAGTGAATGGACTACGGAGTGTACATTACCTCCGTACACGGAGGAACACACTCCGTGTACGGAGTGTGCTCCACTCTTTCCGTGCATGAAGTGAACAACACTCCGTGCATGGAGGAACGTTCCACTCCGTGCACGGAGTGTGCTCATGGAGGAAAACCACTATTTTTTTTTTTTTTTAACAAAATAAATCTGAAACATTAAATGATTTCAGATTTATATTAAAAAATAAATTTTTTTGTCAAAAATCTGGGTAGGAGTGTGTGCGACTTTTTTTTTCCTTTTTTTTTTTTTTACATAATTGTAAGTTAAAAAGACTTCATTCTATATTTATCTCTTCCACATAATTTTGATTTTAAGATCAATAAATCGTTCATCAAAGACCCAATAAACTTTAGAAAAGAAGAAGAAATTTGTGTGATAAAATGGAGAACAGTTGAATTAAACATGTGTAAGGAAAATAGTTGAACAAGAAATGACGTTGTTTTGGCACTCCCACAATTAAAAAAAAATGGCTACAGTTTGACAAAATGGAGCAATTCACTGTTGATATTTACAGTAGCTTTACATTCTTCTTTTTAGGGATTTAATTAATAATTCCAAACGATAATTAATTTTATAGTAATTTTTTATTAATATTTAATTTAAAAAATTAATTATATATATATA